TCCCATCTATGGGTAAATAGCAGGACAGACTGGGTTCGATAGCCTTGGATGGCAACTGTTCTACCGCAGAAAAAAATGGCAACCTACTGCGGTATGAAATTTGCCTCGTCAGTCATGTATCGAAATGTGTATGCGATGTGTATCACGCATGGCAGCTAACTGATCGACTATAGATATTGCAGTGTCATCGGATAAAAATAATTAAATACAGTCCGGCTCTTTTTATCCGGCACTCACGAGACCAGGCCACAGAAAATGCCGGATAACAGAAGTTACCCCTAAAAAGACCCTATGTAAATATAGTCTTGCCAGCTCCTTCCACATATAGGCTGCCGTGTTATCAAAGCTGGAAACAAACCTTAAAACAGGAAATAAAATCATTTATGCTTCCAAACAAGATTTTGAATTCAGAGTTGTCCATTTTCTAGACCGGTTGTCAACCAAGTATATAGGACGACCCCGTCTGTCCTGCTATTTACCCATTCCTTGGGGTGGGGAGAAGAGACCGATTCATATCTGACCCAAGGGTATTTGGGGATGTAACGAGTTCCGCTATCCATTACCTCCACCGTGTCTCCTACGAGGCAAGAGGTCACAGGAAGTGAAAGAGTCTGGGAATAGAAAGGATGGAGAAAAAGTCTATCTGTGAACAAGTTTCCCTCTTGTCGAATCGATATTTTCATAAGTGTGTGCTTGTGGTTATCATCAAGCCTCTGCGCAGAACTAGTAAATATCGAACGGAGTCGGAGTCAAGTATTCAAGGGTCTTCAATAAAAGGTCTGGTTTAGAATAAGGATTAGACATTATTACAATCGATGGCTTCATAGGTTTTTACGGGTTATAAGACTTCAGATTATTTAAATCCAGAAAATCTTTTTAGATTGTGAGAATATTTTTTCTTAATAATGATTTAAGTTTTACTAATTAACCCATAGTTAGGGGGATAAGCAATGGATTCATGCCTTTACCAAGATTATTTGCGTATAAGTGAATATAACGATACTGGCAGGAATTGGAATATCTCTGATTTTCAATTCCTAGCTGTTATCCATGACAAGCTTACAGCTCCTCGTATTCCCAATCCGTCACCCATCTAGGTACTGACCAGGCTCGATGTTGCTTAACAATATACTTGGGCACTATATACAGTGGAACATTTGTCAGTATTGTTAAATAATAGTTTTTAGAGAAGTGTATTTTTGCTCTGACGTCCTCGTTTTGACCTTTGGCGTCAGATACAAGACAAAATAAAGGAAGTCGATTTTGATTGGCTGAACTAGCGTGACAATGATAGATAGATAGATAGATAGATAGATAGATAGATAGATAGATAGATAGATAGATCTTTACCCGGGAGTTGTTTTCCTACACGCAGAACAATGAAGACGTGTTCCTTTCGTCTCTGCACCCTAGGGAAGCGGAAGAACGTCCCCACTGATGTAAATAAAATATACAATAGTTAAGTTTAGAATTCCCTTTGTTGACTTTTTTTTTTTATCTCGGAACCTAAACTGTCTAGTCGGGAGAGGACGATAGACGAGAGGGAAGATACAACATGAATGAATCGTTGCACCAAGACGACGCCCACCAACAGTGTTATAATGCACAACATGCCAAAAAATGGTATGAACTTCACCCAAAACCAGTCATAGAAAGCCAAGACGTCACCAGACTTTCAGACAAACATGGAGTAGTGCTGCCATATACGGGCAGGAGCTGCCCAGTCCCCACTTTCGAGTTTCGATAGAGATAAGAAAAATCTATGCTTTCTTGTGGGTGACAAATTATTTTCCACCCAGAAACACCTGTCTCACAGATATGCTGCATATCTCTCGCTGTTCTATCGCTATTTCCATGGCAAATGTTTAGATGAGCAACATTCCTTAGTTCTACCAGTTCAGACCTTTACATCTAAGCCTCTTGCTACTCTATCGTTATTTCCATGGCAAATGTTTAGATGAGCTACATTCCTTAGTTCTACAAGTTCAGACCTTTACATCTAAGCCTCTTGCTACTCTATCGCTGTTTCCATGGCAAATGTTTAGATGAGCTACATTCCTTAGTTCCACCAGTTCAGACCTTTACATCTAAGCCTCTTGTTACTCTATCGATATTTCTATGACACTCGAGCAGCTTCTCCCCGCAAACCACTGCCATGTGTGACCGTCTTCCAAAAGGATGTTTTACCGAACACTACAATCTTAACTTCTTCACGTCTAGAGTTAACCGTTATATTCCCTACATATCAGCATAAACTATACCTCCTACTCTGTAACCCTCTAGCTCGAGTGGCTCCCTGGTATCCTATTTCTTAAATAAATACAAATGATTGTACCCACAAGTACAGCTCACACCTTACGAAGGGCTTTATCTATGTAAAATATATGTGATTTAGGTTGTCTATTTTCTTCGTTTTTTTTTTACAAAAATGTTCATTGGAAAATGTAATTTCTGATCTTAGGAAATGAGTAGACACCAGAAATCAAAGGAAATAATAATATTAATAATAATCACAGAATATTTCAGTAGCTGAAGAGTGAAAGCCTAAAAGTAGAGACAGAGGCGTTTATAATGGCTACAATAGAACAAAGTCATTTCTTAATCATTTCTCTCCAAGCAAGGCGATGATGCCACACAAACACAAGTGTTTCCTGAGAATGAAAGAAAATAAGAAAACTTTAGTATGGAGAAAGGACAATAAAAGAACAGGATCCAGAAAGAAAGAAGATGGAGATTGATGTATTTAAATTTTTGAAGATCATAGTTGGCCGGAATGCAGTAAGCCGGAAGAGTTTCAGAGGAGTGCGGTCCGAAAGAAGAAACTATTAGAATAGAACTTACGCTAACAAGCAAGGCGATAATGCTATACAAACACGAGTGTTTACTGAGAAGGAAAGTAAAATAAGAAAACGGGCCTTGGATAGGGTGAACCACACCGGGAAAAAAAAACATAATTAAATGCTAATAGTGCAAACATAGGGCTTAAATACTACAAACAAAAATTCGCTTTCATTTGTGATGTGTGTGTTAATTTCCACATCAGACGATAGGCTGTTGGTGATGGTAGAGAGCCCAGATACTTGTTCGAATTCAATGTCCGATTTTGCGTGAGGATTTCCTAATACACAGTGGCAATTCCACCAGACGCAGGACATCACCTTCTTCGGTTAACAGTGGTCCATTTCGTTCTCCCCAGGACCTTTTTCGCTTCACACTGTTGTAAGCAATCTATTTTCCATCGTCTGTGATCGTTCTTTTTAAACTTTTCGTTTTGCTGTCTTTTAGGAGATAATCCCAGATGAAAACGCCGTCCATTAAATTCTTCACGATAAATCATGAAGCACTCGAGCATTGTAACGATTCATTTATCCAAATCTTTTCAAATACCTTCCAATGCAAATTTGATTTGGTCTGGCACTTCTGCTATGTATTTAGAAATTCTTGATAAATACCAAGGAAGAACTTACAATGTTATTAGTCTTGATCTGGCATCTCGGCTTCAGTCATTTTCTACCATAGTTTCCCTGTACCTGTTCTATAAATACAGTCATCGTAATTGTCTTGACGAGCTTTTCCTCGCTAGGTGGTCAGTGATGTCAGTTCGCTGGTGGATGCGGGGTGCCTTTTCGTTTCACGTGTGTGTTTTCGTATTTGTTGTTGTGTCTACATGAGTGCGTGTCTGTGTGAGCGCTTGTGATGAATGAATGTTTTATATTACTATAGTCCCGCATTGCGTCCAGGTAACTGATGTGTCTGCCATGTTTAAGGATTGTAGAGGGGGGGGGTTATTACTAACAATATTTTGTTTACTTTCTTGTAAATAGTTCTTTTTCATATTGTAAATATTCATTGGAGCTAGTTTATGAAATTATTATTTATCAGCCCTACAGACAATGAATTGTACATATGGGGACTTGTTAGGATTTTCATAGAGACATGAGGTATTATGGTGAATGTAGTAAGAAAGGTAAGTAAGAATGCGTTGTTTTGGTGTTAGGAATATTGTTTTTATGTTTGGGACAGTGTTTGTGGCTAGCTAAGTTTAAAGTTAAAACAGGAGAAGACCCTCATTTTCCCTAATCCCTGTTTTTGGCCTTGTGTCACATTTTCTGTTTTTAATACAGATATAAATATCGCTTTCCTCTTTGGAGCCTCGACTTTATAAATTTAAATGCAGTACTAGATTTGCTGTTAGGTCTCATCAATTTACAGTTGAAATGGTTAAATATAACCATAAGTTCTATGATAACGTTTTCTTCTATCGCACTAGATACACAGCATTACCATTTTCGGGTGCAGACCGGTTAACGGTGGTCCATTTCGTTTGCCTCTGGACCTTTTTCGCTGCACATTGTTGTAAGCAATCTATTTTCCAACGCCTATCATCGGTTTTTTTTTTGGGGGGGGTGTTTTTTAAGTGGGCCGTTTTTGCTGTGTTTTTAGCAGGTATTCCCGGATATAAATGCGGTTCATTATATCGTGAAGCGCTCTAGCATTGTAACGATTCATGTATCCGAGTGTTTTCAAATGCTTTACAGCATTCATACGAGGCAGGTGGAGTATTTCTGCGACGCTCCCTGTCGTGTGATCAGGATTTCGATTCGGTCACCAGCAATGACTGCAAGCCCACCAGAATGTTCTCAGTGTACCAGATCGAAATTTCCACTTTTGAACCAAGGGAATCATATCAGAAGATATTTCAGCATCACGGTGTGACAGGTGATGAAAAGTGGTATTCAGCTTGGAAAAATCGCAAAAGTTCATAAAGTCACTGTGTGATTTTACTATTGATACTGACAGACATACAAAAGCTTATAGGCCAGACATCCTAATAGATTATTTAATAAATTTTCCAGTGACTTATCTCTTGTCCGACTCCAGAGTTTGGCGTAACACCGCACATCAATTAGAATATCCGATAAATCGGCTGACATTAAAATACATTAAATCTAGTAATTTTTACGTATTTTGATAGTTATTATAGTTTTATATTATTATTATTAGATAGATAGATATGATGAGATAGATAGATTCTGAATAAATATAAACAGACTGAAATAGATATTTATAGATAGATAGATAGATAGATAGATAGATAGATGAATAGATGAATATAAACAGACTGAAATAGATAGATAGATAGATAGATAGATAGATAGATAAATAGATAGATAGATATCCAGACTGAAATAGATAATAATAGATAGATAGAATGATAGATAGATAGATAGATATAAACAGACTGAAATAGATAGATAGATAGATAGATGAGATAGATAGATATTTTTGAATGATATGATAATTAAATAGATAGATGAATAGATAGATAGATAGATAGATATGAAGAAAATAGATATAGATTTATAGATAGATAGATAGATAATGATAGATATACAGACTGAAATAGATAGATAGATAAATAGATGGAAAATAGATAGATAGATAGATAATGATACATATTAAATAGATAAATTTATAGATAGATAGATAGATAGATAGATGAATAGATAGATAGATAGATAGATAGATAGATAGATAGATAATGATAGATAGATGGATAGATAGATATGAATGAAATGAAATAGATAGATAGATAATGATAGATAGATGAATAGATGATAAAATAAACAACTGAAATAGATTGATAGATAGATAGATAGATAGATAGATAGATAGATAGATAGATAGATAAATTTTATTAAATAGAGATAGATAGATAGATAGATTCATAGATAGATAGATAGATAGATAGATATAAACAGAATGAAATAGAAAGATAGATATAAACAGACTGAAATAGATAGACAGATAGATAGATATGAACAAAATGATGATATAAACAGATTGAAATAGACTGAGATAGATATAAACAGACTGAAATAGATAGACAGATAGATAGATATGAAGAAAATGAGATAGATAGATATAAACAGACTGAGATAGATAGATAGATAGATAGATAGATAGATGATGCAGGCAGGCAGGCACACCTACATATATTAAAACTGAATCAATGTTAAAATTATTGAACTTTATTGAAGATTTGTTCAATCGATAATCAGTTTGAAAATCTGTTATTTAAATATGTTTTCTGACTTTTTGTTCTTTTTTTTTCCTTACAGTATGATAAACGGACAAGGAGAAGATACCGAATTCCAACCAGTCTGGTACGTAATAATATTTACTTCTATTTCCTGGAAATAATTCAAGAATTGTTTTGTTTTTTGTTTGTTTTTTATCATCCAATACTTGTAAGCATGGCAACCAAATTTTACAAAATTTTAAACATGCAATATTCTGATCTTTTTACAAGTTCGGATATCATCATCATTCCCTTGACTTTTGCAATCGTGATGGGGAAATCGAAAACAGAAGCCACACTAAATCTCCTCCACAACGGTCTATCAACGGCAGCCATCAGCAATTCTGGTACAGCCATATCTGTCCATTTTTTTGACAAGAAGTTTTGGCGTTGGCGTCCTCCCCTACGTCCACCTTCAACAGTGTTGTCGTGCTTTGTAGTGTGTCCAAACTACGCCATTTTCTCTGGTTGACAGTGGCGAGAAGAGGCTTCCTTTTCCGCACAAACTCATTGGTTTTTTGTTCCCAATAGAAAATGCCAAAGAATTTTCTCATGCTTTTGATCTCAAACATTTGGATCCATCTCTCTATATCTGCCAACATTTCGTATACAATTTTTATCATTTACCAATTTATAAAGAATTAAATGTGAAAATTAATTTTTATTTATGAATTTCAATAAAGACAAAAAAAAAACTTAGCTGACGCGTTTCGTCCAATTGAGTGATTTTACCAAGGCATTTGCTTGATAAAGTCCGTTAAAGTGGTTCGACCAGGAGACGCAGGTTCAAATCTCACCATGGTTGCTTTGTTAAAGTGTGAATTATAATATCGAGCTTTCAGATCGATATTTCGGTTTAGCAGCAGTTTGCGGTATTGTGCAAAACTATCTTTGGCGCAGTCTGTTCTATAATCATTTTTTTTTTCTCCTGTACTAAATTTTTTATAAGGGATTGATACGCCGAGGTGTTTAGTATTTAGTAATTCCACATGCTGAATTTTTGCAGGGTTGAAATATTTAATCACACACAAAGACGCGAATTACTGCCACTCATGATTCTGTAGCGTCAGTCTACACTGCTCAAATAAGAGTGGTCTTTGCTAAGACCCCCAGGATTCACTCGCTCAAAATCATTTTAACCAGTGATCCTAGAGAGCGGTTGTATACAGCTGATAGTTTACATATTTCTGAACGGTTTTGGCGCCATATATAACATCGATATGAAATTATCGATCTGACGATAGTATTTAAGGACATGACTCAATTTACACTATTTACATTATTCGAACTATTGTCCTCATCTTTGTCGGCATATTTATCACAACGTTTCAGCCCTTCAGTATCTATCTATATTTCTGAGATGAGGTATTATGTAGACTATTTACATTATTCGGACTATTGTCCTCATCTTTGTCGCCATATTTATCACAACGTTTCAAATCAGTATCTATCTATATTTCTGAGATGACGTATTATGTACACTATTTACATTATTCGGACTATTGTCCTCATCTTTGTCGCCATATTTATCACAACGTTTCAGCCCTTCAGTATCTATCTATATTTCTGAGATGAGGTATTATGTACACTATTTACATTATTCGGACTATTGTCCTCATCTTTGTCGCCATATTTATCACAACGTTTCAGCCCTTCAGTATCTATCTATATTTCTGAGATGAGGTATTATGTACACTATTTACATTATTCGGACTATTGTCCTCCTCTTTGTCGCCATATTTATCACAACGTTTCGGCCCTTCAGTATCTGTCTATATTTCTGAGATGAGATATTATGTACACTATTTACATTATTCGGACTATTGTCCTCCTCTTTGTCGCCATATTTATCACAACGTTTCGGCCCTTCAGTATCTGTCTATATTTCTGAGATGACAATTATGTACACTATTTACATTATTCGGACTATTGTCCTCATCTTTCTTGACCATATTTATCACAACGTTTCGGCCCTTCAGTATCTGTCTATATTTCTGAGATGAGGTATTATGTACACTATTTACATTATTCGGACTATTGTCCTCCTCTTTGTCGCCATATTTATCCCAACGTTTTGGCCCTTCAGTATCTGTCTATATTTCTGAGATGAGGTATTATGTACACTATTTACATTATTCGGACTATTGTCCTCATCTTTGTCGCCATATTTATCACAACGTTTTGGACCTTCAGTGTCTGTCTATATTTCTGAGATGAGGTATTATGTACATTATTTATATTATTCGGACTATTGTCTTCATCTTTATTGCCATATTTATTACAACGTTTCGGCCTTTTTCAATATTTATCTATATTTAAACGTTGAAGGGCTATTAATAAATATTGAAAAAGAATGAGGACAATAGTCCTCATAATGTAGTCTTCATAAATAATACATCAATCTGCCATTGAGTTTAATGTCGATTTGATTTTGCAAAACTATTCTATATTCAAATTGTAAACTACTCTCTCGAGTGATATAAATATTCTGATACTTACCGGTCACAGGGATCCGTCTTAGTATATCAGCTATGACTAGTTTGGACCGGATCTGACCAGCTTGGACTAGCTAAGACCAGCGGCCCGTGGTTAAGGACGAAAGAAGAAGAAGAAGTGGGAGGGAAGAAGAAGAAGAAGAAGAAGGAGGAGGAGGAGGAAGAGCAAGAGGGGAGAAGTAGTAGTAGAAGAAGAAGAGGAAGTGGGAGGAAAGTAGTAGTAGAAGAACTAGAAGTGGGGAGGAAAAGTAAAAAAAGAAGTTTCTGTAGTATAAATTATTAAGAAGTATTTCTGTCAGAGAATTAGTTTCAGTAGTAGAATAAGAAGTGGGAGGGTTTTAGTAGTAGTAGAGGAAGAAGGAGGGGAGGAGAAGTAATGGTAGTAGTAGAAAAAATAAAAAGGAAAAGGGAGGAGAAATAGTAGTAGAAAAATGGGAGGGAGGAGAAATAGTAGTAGTAATAGTAGTAGTAGAAGACGATATGGGCGAGTTAAGAAGAAGAAGAAGAAGAAAAGAAGAAGAAAAAAAATAAAAGAAAGAAAGAAAGAAAAAAAAATTTGAATAAAGAAGAAATTATCTCAAGTCCAGTAGCTGTTATCACTCTTTCCACTATTGATGGGTGGCTTTCCTTCCTAACATTTCGTTTGAAGTCATGCGGAATGTCAACATTTTATGTCATTATTTTCTCTTGGATTTACATACGCTATCTATTTTAGTGGTTGCTGCTGTTGGTAGTCTTCAATTGATGTCGTTTATATTATTTCGTACAGTTCATTGCAATGTTCAAAGAAGAATGGTATTCGCCAGGACCCACAGGCTTCACACACTGAAAACCTTTTTTAACCACTGATCTTTAATAGCAATTTTATAGAGCTGACAGTTTAGATATTTCTGAATCCAAACCATATCGATTTGACGAGGCTATTTAAGAACATGACTCAAGTTTTCATGTTGCTGTTTTGGTTTTGTAACAATTTGCGGTATTGTGCAAAACTATCTTTGGCGCAGTTTATTCAATGTTCAGTTTCCCTTTTCTCCTGTACTTATTTTTTTTATGCTGATCCATACGCCTATGTATTTGGAGTGTTTAATGTTCATCAGTTTCACATACTGAATTCGTGTAGGGTGTGAAATAATTCATCACCCACAAGGACGCGAATTCCCTCCTCTCACCACCTCATATTTCATTTCTTTCTTTTCTTTTTTTTTTTTTTTAGTACAAGCGCAGTTCCGGACACAGCCTTCTCCAACCCGATGTATGAAGAGCGTAACAGTCGACAACAATTGTTGTCATCTGACACAAGTACGCGATGCTAATGAACAACTTGTTGCTGGTCAGTCAGGAAAGAACATAGTCTTCCCTGCATAATCATTTTCATTTTATTTCTAACCAACAATTATTATTATTAATATTATTATTATTATTATTATTTGGGACAAAACGATGTGTCGTTCTTTATGATGTCATTTTATAAAAAAAAAAATAAATAAAAAAACAACAATAAATAAGCGAAAATTAAACAAACACAAACACACAATAAATAGAACAATGAAAATTATTAAAAAAAAAATTAAATAAATTCCCTCAGCTTCCTAATGTCCCCATTCCAGACCCCCTTTTCTTGAACACGAGTAAAGAAAAAAATTATAAAATGAAAAAAAAAAAATAACATTTTTTAAACTATAAAGGTTCACAAATATTTCACCATCAACCGCAAATTACTTATTCACATTTCAAGTAAAAAATTTTCTTTCTTAAAATCGTCTTGATAGATTAGTTTATTATTATTATTATTATTATTATTATTATTATTATTATTATTATTATCTATGTATTTATTCATAATGTCTGCCCATTTGAATTGTCTCAGGTTGTTATTTTATAATCTGTTGAGTTATTTCACTGGAGATCAAGTGAGAGCAAATCTCCACACTATTCTTTTATTAGCAGTTTTTTTTTATTGCCTCTTTATCATTATTATTATTATTATTATTATTATTATTATTATTATTATTATTATTTCTGTCTTTTCGATATTGTTATTAAACATACAGCATTATTTTAACAATCGTAACGGCTTTTTTTTTAACGAATGATACCATGTTGTCTTTTTGGGGGGTGACGATGGCTATAATGAAGGTATGTGGGAATGTGAGAAGATACAAAAATGTATTTTAAAAAGATGAAAACAACAAAAAAAAAACCAAAAAAAAAACAATACAACCGTTGATCATAATACATAAAACATTATTTCACACATAAGAAGCATATCAAAGAAAGGGGAAAAAATAATGACTAATCAAGAAATACTTTAAAAAAAAAAAAAAAGATACTGAATTTCGATTACGATCGCAAAGGTACCACGTGATGTGTCACGTGACGTGCCAATGTTGTGAGAGGTGCTGGGGAGATTCCTTTTATGTCATGATTTTTTTTTAAATGTTCTCTGTGTTATTACTTTTGTTGTTGTTGCCATTTTGTTTCTATGGCTTCTTTTGGGTCCTTCTAAGGGATGACTATATTCTTAAATCTTTAATGTTTAAATTTTAATATATTTTAGAGCAGTTTTTCTTTATCTCCCTCCCCCCTCTCTCTCTCTCTCTCTCTCTCTCTCTCTCTCTCTCTCTATTTAGATTTTTCGAAAAGGCTTATGTTTTTTTATTATGTGGGATTTTTTCAGTTATTTTTATTTTATATTGTTATTTTCGTCTACCTGTTTTGTTTTTTTTTTTTTGTTTTTTTTTTTTTGCTGTTGTTGTTTTTTCACCCTGGTTCATTTAAATTGTTTTTTTTCTGGCTTACTTTTTCCATAATATTCCATGTGACATTAGAAAACCGAAAAAAGGACATTATCAAAACAAACAGAAACAATAATTTTCGGTTTTTTCCTGTTTTATTCTTTTTTTTTTCCATTCTTTTTATTATTTTTTCATTATTTTTCACTATTTTTCATTCTTTTTTCATTATTTTTTTCTTTCTTTTTTTTCCATTCCTTTTTATTATTTTTTTTCTTTATATTCTGTAACAGGAATTGAACCTCTATTTCTAAGCGAGATACACAAAACCTCGTTTTCCAAATACTCGGACGCATTTATATTTAACACACACACACACACACATACACACACAAAATAGTTGGATTTTTTGTCATTTTTTTTTTTACAGAGCTAAATATAGCATATAACATATAATCATCCTCATGATCATCATCATCGTCTTCCACATCCGCGTATATAACAGTAATGGGCTTCCATATTATTCTTGGTAATTTATATAAACTTTTTTTTCATATTCAACTGAACTCAGACCATCACCGAGATTAGTAAGATATTTGGAGCATAGCGAGTTATTCCAAGGTTGTCCATGACGCAATGTTCTTCTCCTACCCTGGTTACCCTACCAAGGCTAGAGCGCATAGTCTGCCCCACGATTTTACCAACGGCTGAGAAGAGAAGTGTCAGAATTTAGTGCCCAAGTTTTTCAACAACTTCGTTTCAGAATCTTAGCCAATGAAAAGTCTTAGATGAGAAGCCATAGGGACCTACTGAAAGCTTTCATATTTTCAGGTCTGCAAAGACCAACGTCAATTTAGTGTTCAATTGGTTATTTTTAATATGCAATAGACCGACTACGAAGAAAAAGGTGTGTGTTCGTTATATATGTATAGGGGCTTGCTAGGGGTCTATCTTGGAAAAAAAGGCGATTAACAACTTGGAAAAGGTTTGAAATTAATTTCTAGTACTCAGCCAAAACAGAGACGAACACAGAATCGATTATATATATATATATATATATATATATATATATATATATATATATTATATTTGCCCAACTGTGCATATCTATTCAAAAGAAATGAAAAAAGAAAAGAAGAAAGAAAGATAGTACACGAAATAAGAATGGAAGCATGTAATGAATAAATAGAAAAATAGAGAACAAAGAAAGAAAGAAAGAAAGAAAGAAAGAAAGAAAGAAAGAAAGAAAGAAAGTGAACGAAAAGAGATAGGAAGAATGTGATGAATAAAAATAAAGAAAAAAGAAAAAGATAGTGAACGAAAATACAAAAAAGAGAAAGAAAGAAAGAAAGAAAGAAAGAAAGACAGTCAACGAAAAGAGAAAGGAAAAATATGATGAATAGAAAGAAAGAAAGAAGTGAATAATGAGACGAATATTAAGAAAGAAAGAAAGAAAGAAAGAAAGAAAGAAAGTCAACGGAAAGAGTAAGGAAGACTGTGATGAATGGTAAAAGAAAGAAAGACTGACAGAGAAAGAAAAAAAAGAAAGATAAAAAGGAAAGAAAGTGAACGAAAAGAAAAGCGAAGTATGTGATGAATACAAAGAAAGAAAAAGAAAGAAAAAGTTGAATATTAAGAAAAAAAGAAAGAAAAAAAGAAAGAAAGAAAGAAGGAAAGAAAGTCAACGAAAAGATTAAGGAAGAATGTGATGAATAGAAAAAGAAAGAAAGACTGACGGAAAAAGAAAAAGAAAGAAAAAAGATACAAAAAAGAAAGAAAGCGAACGAAAAGAGAAGGGAAGTATGTGATAAATAGAAAGAAAGAAAGAAAGAAAGAAGAAAAGAATATGAGGAATAGAAAGAAAGAAAGAAAGAAAGAAAGAAAGAAAGAAAGAAAGAAAGAAAGAAAGAAAAAGAGAAAAGAAAAATGAGTTGAATATTAAGAAAAAAAGAAAGAAAAAAAAGCAAGCCAGAAAGAAAGAACGAAAATGAAGAGAAAATATTGAACATGTATATGTTTGCGTGTATCTATGTAGAGGTTTATATATATGCGCTTGTGTGTGTGTATGTGTGTGCGTGTGTGTGTGTGTGTGTGTGTGTGTGTCTCCATTGCAGGTGTGTACTCTGTGTTTCTCCATCTTTCGCCTTTTGTCCTCGTGTCCGAATGTTTTTTCTCTATTCAAATAGTCAATTTCCTTCGGCTGACTAAAAATCGATTGATTAATCAGACAATCGATCATTCAATCAACCGATCACTTGACCAAAATGTCCCCCCACCCCCACTATACACCCACCCACCTTTCGTCATCCATAAAAAGAAAACCCTCTCTCGACAAACTATCATTTCCATCAACTGATTTGAATCTCCTTCTTGACCGCTTATTTCTTCGGCCCTGATCGAAAATCTTTTTGCTATCGTTTATTGTTGGCCATTGTTGACTATTTTATACATTCCTTCGACCACTGTTGTTTAGGTGTCCACCAATGGTGGTCTATCAATTATACGATGACAAAGACAACATATTCTGAACGGACCTGTATCAGATATTCCAGATATAATTAAAAATGCTCCAAAGACATCAATTGGATGCTTTCTTTCGAATCTGGAACAGATGAGTCAACAGATATTTTGTTCTTTTTGCTGGTTTTCTTGGGTTTTTCTTGGCGACTTTTGGTTTTTCTGCGTTGATTGATTAAGATATGGAGGAGGGGCTGCCTTGTTGTTGCTATTATTGTTTCTTCTTCTTCTTCTTCTTCTTCTTCTTCTTCTTCTTCTTCTTCTTCTTCTTCTTCCATTTCTTCTTCTTCTTCATCTTCCTCTTCTTCCGTTTCTTCTTCTTCTTCTGTTTCTTCTCCTTCCGTTTCTTCTTCTTCCGTTTCTTCTTCTTCTTCTTCTTCTTCTTCTTCTTCTTCTTCTTCTTCTTCTTCTTCTTCCGTTTCTTCTTCTTCTTCTTCTTCTTCTTCTTCTTCCATTTCTTCTTCTTCTTCTTCTTCTTCTTCTTCTTCTTCAAAGTCTTCTTCTTCTTCTTCTTCTTCTTCTTCTTCTTCTCCTTCTTCTTCTTCTTCCGTTTCTTCTTCTTCTTTTTCTTCTTTTTCTTCTTCTTCTTCCGTTTCTTCTTCTTCTTCTTCTTCTTCTTCTTCTTCTTCTTCTTCTTCTTCTTCTTCTTCCGTTTCTTCTTCTTCTTTTTCTTCTTCTTCTTCTTCTTTCGTTTCTTCTTCTTCCGTTTCTTCTTCTTCTTCTTCTTCTTCTTCCGTTTCTTCTTCTTCTTCTTCTTCCGTTTCTTCTTCTTCTTCTTCTTCTTCTTCCGTTTCTTCTTCTTCTCATCCTCCTTCTTCTTCTTCTTCTTCTTCTTCTTCTTCTTCTTCCGGTAATTCACTTTTTCTTTTTTTCTTCTTATTTTTTCCTTTCCTTCTTTTTTCTCCCTTTCTCTTCTTTTTGTCATTTTCTACTTCTTCCTCCTCATTTGCTTCTCCCTATTCTTTTTTTCTTTTTTCTCTTCTTCTTT